GAGTGGGATAATAACGGATTATTTTCGACATATTTTAATATTTCGGTGTTCTCGCGCATTTCCCGTCGGAAATCACACTACCATTTTTCAATGACGTCATACCCTGCTGCATTTTTGCCACTGTGGATTCGTACCGGAAATTCATTGATTCTGTAGGATCATCTGATAGAGGCTCGTCGCGCTGGTCCTTAAAACATCTGGGGCATCCGTGATAGCATCCTTGAAACTCGAAAACTTGATTTTCACAAAATCCATCAACCTTTAATCATTTTAACGCTATCATAGACTGGTTGTCTGTCATTCTATAACCACCCTTAGGAATAATACCAATTGTGTTTGGCTTAAGAAAATTTCTCCCAAACACTTTATTGCAGGCGGAGGCAATAGTGCAGGCGGAGGCAATGGTACAGGCGGAGGCAATGGTGCAGGCGTTGGTGGTTGTTATCATCTGTTCTCGAAATTTTAGACAGGCCCCTGTTAGAATTTCTACATCGGAAACGCAGTAATCAATGAACTCTTTTTGAAAATCAAACTGGTCGTCCTTATGATCCTCATACCATTTTAAAAATTCCTCTCGTTTCCTCTGGTTTCATCGTGTCGGGGGTAGGGGACCAACATACGATTGATTTTCCAAGGTGTTAAACAAGTATGGAAAATACCCCTTCTTTAGTTCCTTTAACACAAATGCTTTGGGGAGAGCTGAGAGCGGCATGGGAAAATAATTAAGGGAATCCAAAAATTTGATGTTTTGTAGTTGCATCAATATAATTTTGGTTCCTCTCATAATTAACTAGGGGGTTAGGTCAGTTTTCTTCAGTATATGGCTTAGAATAAATTGGTGATCAAATGCTTGGCCGTTGTGCGCCAGCACAACAACATCTTTTTGAATTTTTTTCTAATTTCTAAAAGGTGAATCATAAAGGTGGCAATGAGGTTTGCACCACGAACTTTTTGCAGTCTTAAGCCACATTTTTTACAAATAATATCTGATGTTTTTAGGCACACATCGCAGCATTGTTTAAAAACACACAAATTCGGCTCGTGTTCCAGGTCGTCACCGCTGAGTTTTTCCTGCCTAGTCTCCAGGTCGTAGAAAACAAAAAGTACATCCTTTGTTTTTGGTTTTCCTGTATCTGGCTGCACAAATGCCCTTGTGATTGGAGTTTTTGACAAATTTTACAAAAAATTTCCCCGCATGTATGCTCTCTATTAGCCTTTATAGTTTTAGGCAGTTGGGGCAGAGTCGAACTTATTGGCAAAGAGAGCCCTTTGTACCAACTTCTATATGGTTATCAAAGCAAGCCTGACTTTTAAATGTGCGAAGGCAGTCAGCACATTTAACCTTAATCCCTACTTTACATGGTGGAGACCTCTGGCATGCCACACAAGATTTGGAACATCTGTGCTTGTTTTTGTGATCGGGGGGGATATGGCATTCCTCGCAAAAATAACGACAGCAGAAGGCGGCTGTTAATGATGTAACAACATTATAATGCCCTAGGTGATGAATTAAATTAATTCTTTTTTTTTCCTCAGGCCCTGAAAAAATTATGTCTCGGCCTTTACAGCCGTATTTGTAAACTACTATCCTATAGCCTGTTAAATACTGTTGGAGTTGATGGAGCCCGGGAATACCAGCCCCCTCTTCAGGTATCCTTACATTTGCTTTTTCTAACAATTGTTGGGTTCTCACAGTCTGCAATTTTCCAACATCCCTGCGCACTTTAACATAGTCATGGTCTTTGTCCACGTAAGCCTAGGCCAAGACAAGAGCTCGAGGTAAACATAAATTGTCATTATTTTTAATAGCGATTATCCCCTGACGCTTAGCGCACTCTTCATCAAAAGTATTGTAGTTTTTCCCTCTGGGGTGCCTTTCCCCACAGGTATCCTGACGGTGGTAACGCCAAGACAAAACGTCTCGGTGTTTAGACCCATGGAGTTGGATTGGTAGATGCTGGAGATAACACCCCAAACATCCTCTAGTGTAACCTCATCTGCGGGTTTAAAACGTACCCAACCTTGGCCTCTAGAGAGGTCTTTACAGCTAAAATTAAAAGCTACTTGATCCTTCGGTCACAGGTTCCTCCCTTGAAGGTGGGTCTCGCAACTTAAACTCCAGTGTACGACCTTGAAGATTGAAGCGACGAACATTTTTTGAAAAATCTTTAACAATAATAAATTTTTCCATTTTAAATTATCTGAGCGATAAAAAGCAGCTATCACTTTGACACGACGGATAACGACTGATAACCTGCGGGTGTTATCGCTACTTTTTATACCTGTGTTAACGTTCAGTCTTCCGTCCGCCCATTTCGTAAACCAAAAAAGGCCCCGGGTGTTCCTATCTTCCTGTGTTAAAAGTGTTCGTCTTTACTACATTAACCGCAAAAGCGATAATAATACTATATTATTTTAATATTAATTAATATTTATTTAACCACATTGCAAGTATTTTATATTACTAATTCTTAAATTCGACCTAATTAATTTAAATTAAATTTACAGGGAGTGCAGTTTACGTTTTCAATTGCTTTTCGGAGTTGGGTAACCTTAAAATGGGCATTCAAGGTGACAATACCACAATTTGGCCTTGAACGCCTTATCAGAGATGAGTCACCATACCAAAACTGAGAAAAACTTTTCATTGTTTTTGTGTGCTGTCGTGTGTGTGTGTGTGTGTTTACGCCGCATTAACTGTGGCAACCTGTGTGTACATTAAACTCAATTGTGGCGTGCGCTTTACTTGTGGCAACACACATTCGGACGTCACAGCAAAACTAGCCATAAATTGGCTACAAACCTGTTTTGCGTGTGGCGGTTTGAAAATACCGCGCCTATGAGGATAGTGCGCAGAATGCCCGCTAGAAAGCAGCTCTACTGTTTGAAACATGGCGGGAACTTAACCAGTGTGTAGTAAGCCATAGTCGCGGCATACGCATGCATAAGCTAAAGCAAATTGTGACTACATTTGCTTTGTTAAGTAGTGGCGCCCTCTGGTTACACACACTTTCCAATATTTCATTGTTTTGATAACTGATGTTGTCATATATCCATTTTAAGTCTAAAATTTACCACGTGTAAAATTAAGTCCAAATTATTGTTAAATAAAACATATTTTAATCAGTTTTATATACGCAGTTAAGTTGTTTAGTTGAAATTTTATTATATGTTTTTAACCAATAAATCGTACAACAATGTAAAGTTTAAATCTAAAACATCTTGCAGTATGTTGCCATATGTCCATTTGGCATTTTATGTATGAAACGATATTTTAATTATTATTATTTAATTTAAATTATAATTTGTTTTATTAATTGTTAATTGATTATTATTATCATTTGTTATATTTTTTTATGTTACAAATAAAAGAATTATTTATTTATTAGGGATGTACGAATATATTTTTTTGTTATATTTTTTTATGTTACAAATAAAAGAATTATTTATTTATTAGGGATGTACGAATATATTTTTAAACCATAAATCGTACAACACTGTTAAAGTATCTCAACAAACGGATTACAAAGTTTTCGTTTGTTTGATATAAAGTTTTATTGAAGAATTGTGTTCTTTTGGATCTACAGTAAGTATACAAAAAGGTTATTGCAATAAAGATATGATATTGTTATTGCAATAACGATAATAAGGTACTTTTTTTTAAGGTTTTAATTATTTTTTACTTTTATTATTTTTATACGATATATTGAATTTTCTTTCAAAGCAAAACAATAATCATGATTAGGTACCTAATCATGATTATTGTCTTAAAAAAAATTCAATACAATAGTTTTTGAGCCATTCCACGCGTGACGGATGGGATAGTTGCCGTGTTTTTATTTACAAAATAATGTTGTTCTATTGTATTGCCAATGTCAAATTTTTATAAATGGTTCTAAACTGGAGCTGTTTAACAAGGTTTTTATTTGGCAAAATTGGGTATCGTGATTGACTGTCCAATTCCTTAAAAACTAATAATTTAAAGCGTAACGGTCGGGACTTTGCAATAGTCCCGCCCGTTACGCTTTAAATTATTAATTTTTAAGGAATTGGACAGTCAATCACGATACCTAATTTTGCCAAATAAAAACCTTGTTAAACAGCTTTTGTTTAGAGCTATTTATAAAAATTTGAAATTGGTAATATGGTGGAACAATATTATTTTGTAAATAAAAACACGGCGGCTGTCCTATCCGTTAATTAAGCGTGGAATGGCCCTTTTATATAAATATTTTTTAGTAAATAGGTACAATAAGGCTGATGTGATTAATTCACAAGTATTGTGCTACCTTACATATTTATAATAATTTTTATTAATTTTACGACATTTGTCTATGGTTTTCACGCACTGTTGTCCAGGAAGAGTCGTGAAATATTTTGGATTTTTCCAAATCATCATTTTATTTACACACTGCTGTCACTGGTCGAACAGTCTGTAAAATTGTTTTTATTTTGGCTGCTGTAAGTTACTATTTATTAAAATTAAGTTTTTTTAAAGATAAAACTGTTTGTTTTACTAGACTATGTAAGTATATTTTTTCTATAAATTTAAAAAGTTCCTATATATTGTTGATATACATGTTTTATTTATACACTGAATTTATTGACTAAATAAAAGTATGTTTTAGTTTTATATTTATTATTTAAAATAATTTACTTTTATATAGTCTTCTGTTTTTAAAGTAAAACCAGTTTGCTTTCTTTTACTAGAATATGTAACTTAATTTAAAAAGTTCCTATACATATGTGATATACATGTTCTATTTATAAACTGAATTTATTAACTTTATAAAACTAGAACTAAATGTTGATATTTCTGATAAAACTGTTTATGTTTGATATTAATTTGTATTCTTATTTTGTGAAAATAAATATTTTTTTAGTTTAATTATATTTTATTTTGTATGAATACATTTTTTATTATTATAAAATTCTTGAAGCCGGTCCTGTAACAATTTTAAAAATGCTTTAATCAGGACCTACTCACAGCCTGTGAGTCACAGGGCCAAATGTCAGAAGTGTTTCGTTTGCTTAGCTTGCGATATCATGGCAGCCATGATCATTTGTGTCCCTAGATAGATTCTTTTTCATCTATGTTTGTGTCTAGATCGCCACAGTGAATAGGTGTTTTAACAGGCTGTTTTTGCATTTTATTCCGTAAGTTCGCATTTTTTTAAAGATTTCATTACAATAAAAAAAGACTGAATCTTTTAGGAAATGGAAACCAGAGGTAAAAAAATATTAAGAATGCTGCAAGCGGATAATAGAGATGTAAGCAATCGTTTATTAAATCTGCCTAAGTATGAAACGACAAAATGTCTGGAAAAGGAAAATAGGGAGATGGCAATTAAAAGTGAGTACCCATTTGATTACCTACCTATCTTAACAAAGTGCAGCAAAGCGGTAAATTTCGTCGGCTAATTTATTGTATCACTGTTGTATAAAATCTACATTTTTTATTTTGATCAGGGGTGGCGCCGACATTCAGGACGTTTTATGTAATCAAGCTTTTAGCCGGATAAAGACAGCCCTAGGCAGTGGCGGCTAGTGGATTTGGGTATACCGATATCTTAGTTATTAGACATGGGACCCACTCCAAACTTTATAATGACATTGAATAGACAAGATTTGCACAAGCAGAATTTAAATTTAAGTTTGCTAAAAAAGTTAGTAGGTATTTTAACTGGCCGTACCAGCCCTCTGCCCCCCTATTTAAAATTATTTAAATTAAAGTGGTGCAAATCATAATTCACTAAAGTTTACGGATGCGTTTTAAAATTTATTTAAAAAATCCAAGAATTACAGATTTAATACCATTTTAATTTTTTTTTAAATTTTAGTTTAATTTAAAATAATATAAAATCTGAAATTCTTCGATTTTTTTAATAAATTTTAAAACGTATCGGTAAACTTTAGTGAATTATGATTTGCACCACTTTAATTTAAATAATCTTAAATAGGGGGACAGTTAAAATACTAACTTTTTTTGCAAACTTAAATTTAAATTCTGCTTGCGCAGAACTTGTTTATTTATTGTCATTATAAACTCATATAAGTTTGGAGTGGGTCCCATGTCTAATAACTAAGATATCGGTATACCCAAAATCCACCAGCCGCCACTGGCCATAAGTTAATAATAAAATGGCGCCTATGGTAACAGATCATGTTGGTACCTATGGTGCTAATAGAACACAATACATATAGCCGACAGGGGCGACAGAGGGGGGGACAATAATAATAATTTTACCCCGTTATACCCAGAGCTGTGCGGTACTCGAGTACTTGTACTCAAATTTTGTACTTTAAGTACTTTTTATGTACTTGGTACTCAGTTCAGAGTACATTTTAAAAAAAGTACTTGTACTTGTATTTATTTAATCTAAAAATGTAAAAATTGACACAAGTACATTGGTTGTACTCAAGTACATTTTTTGTACTCGAGTACATTTAATGTACTTAAGTACTTTTGTTATACTAGAGTACTTTTTGTACTCGGCATCTTTGTATTAAGTTAACATAACCACTACTGTAGTCGCACAACATATTCAAATTTAGCGCCATAATTATAATATTTTTTTATGTGTGAAAGTAAGTATTTTATTTCTACTAGTTTTATAAATTAAAAATATTATTTTAGGACTCACTACTTTCAAGTGACCTAAACCTGATATTTAGGTCTCTGTATATTTTTGGACGTGTTTTGGGTTGGTATTGGTTTAATCAGAGCTGTTTCGAGTACAAGAAAAAAGTACTCGAGTAAAATATATATATATTAGGGTGGCCCAAAAAAAAAGAATATCTTTTTTTTTCTCGTCTCTTGTAAAAATATGTTAGTTTATCATGCTGTAAGAGCCCTGTCAAAATATCAGCTCGATAAAAAAAATTTTAGGGGTCGCTCAAGATTTTTTAAAATTTTCAAAATCGTCAAAAATTGAATTTTTGTTTTATTTTAATTTTTTTTCTTGTCTCGATATTATTTTTTTGGTAGAAAATAATAAAAATTTTGAAAATATCAAATCAACATTTTAATTTCTAAAGGTCGCTGGTATTTATATTCAGAGGTCGCTCGAAAACATTCAAAATACTCTACTTTGAAAGTTAAAAAAATCTTGAGCGACCTTTAGAAATCAAAATATCCATTTGAAATTTTCAGAATCATTATTATTTTTAAATTAAAAAATAATATCGGAACGAGAAAAAAAATTAAAATAAAAAAAAATCCAATTTTTGACGATTTTGGAAATTTTTAAAAATCTTGAGCGACCCCTAAAAATTTTTTAATGGAGCTGATCTGTTGACAGGGCTCTTAAAACATGACAAACCAACATATTTTCACAAGAGACAAGAGAAAAAAAATATTCTTATTTTTTTGGGCCACCCTAATATATATATATATATATATATATATATATATATATATATATCGATGCCTGTTAAGTTGTCACTTCCGTAGTATAAACAGGGCGTCCTAACTTCCACATGAACGAAGGCTTATACAAGCATTTTAAAACTATATATAAGTGAAGGGGAACCTACGTAATCCGAATCTCTAGAGAGGGGAAAGGATTTCGCAAATAAATATTTGTGTACTATGGCCGTGACTTAGTCACTTCCATCATATATAGAGACAATTGCATCGTAGACACTTCCGACAGGGTTGCCAGATTTTCGAGTCTAAAAATAGATTTAGTCTAGTTATCTCTCTCCGTTGCTCATGCGGACCTTTTTTAATTCGAAACGCTTAAAGTAAATATTCTGTTATGTGCAACACTTAGTAACCACGATTCGTTCGCCAAGCATAAGTACGGCACATTCGACGTTCGAAACTAGTTATTAAACTTGCATTGTTTAATAATATTATTATGTTAAATTATGTTTGGTAATGTTTTAATAATAATAATAATAATTTAATATTTTTTGAGTGGAGAGAATATTGCGTGTATTATTATTATATTATTTCCAAATTAAAATTATAATAATTATTATTTTAAGTGTAAGACATCCAAATTTAATATTTTTATTTTGTTTTTGTTATTTTATGTGTTGGGTTATAATCTCAAATTGCGCTGTGGCTAAATGTATAAACTGTAATAAATCTACAAAAGGTACTAAAAAATAAAATGTCAAAATTTACGAATTTAAAAAAATAGTACCTACTTACATACGTATTTTTTAATATAATTTTTTCTCTCGTCATAAAAATGTTAAAATTAATATTTTTATAGAATTAATAAGGGTGTTTATCAAAGTGGACAACATAATAAAGTTTGTAGATCTTATAAGAAATAATTATCGAGTCCGACACTTTTTTAAATAAATATTTTTCGTCGGTTGATAAATTTTTTTAAATGTTTAAAACAAAAATTTTAAAGCATATAAATTCATATTAACTTTTCTTCTTAGTTATGCAAGTTCTATCCACTACCGTATTTTTCCAAATAAAAAAATGTGCTAATATGTATTACATTTAATGTAATACCTAGTGGGACATTTTTTTTTTAAATATACTTTATTTAAATTAGCTAAAAACTTTTAATCTTTAAAATGCTTTGTAAAATTGTTAAATTTGAGATACGGCCTTATGTGATAATTGGGACGATAGATCCTATCTTAAACCTAGCAGTATAAAACAATTTTATTAATATTACCTACCAACTTGTACTTTAAAATGAAAAAAATAATAGCTGTTATGATAAAAAATAATAATTTTACTTGGCTATTTTTACCTGTTGGCAACTGTCTACATTTGAAAAAAAATATTTAATCTTTAATTTACTCAAAGAAATGGTATGTACAGGGTGATCCCCTATAATGTCGCTCCCCTTCAACTTGTGTCCCAAAAAATTTAAAAGCGTGGTTATGTAGGGAGTAAAAAATACTTTTCTCCTACGTATAAAAAAAAAGAAATTTTTTAAGTACAGGGTATTCGGTTTTTCCTGGAACGACACTAAATTTCTTATTTTCAGTATTTTTTTGCATTTTTTGAATTTACACACTTTTTAAGACATATATACTTTGCAAATATATTTGTAAAAATTTTAGTATCTGCAGGGTGATCCCCTATAATGTCGCCCCCTTTAACTTGATGCAGTATTTTTTTTATATTATGTTTTGATTTATACAGGGTATTCGGTTTTTCCTGGAACGACACTAAATTTCTTATTTTCAGTATTTTTTTGCATTTATGAGTTTACACACTTTTTAAGACATATGTACTTTGCAAATATATTTGTAAAAAAATTAGTATCTGCAGGGTGATCCCCTATAATGTCGCCCCCTTTAACTTGATGCAGTATTTTTTTTTATATTATGTTTTTATTTATACAGGGTATTCGGTTTTTCCTGGAAAGACACTAAATTTCTTATTTTCAGTATTTTTTTGCATTTTTTGAATTTACACACTTTTTAAGACATATATACTTTGCAAATATATTTGTAAAAATTTTAGTATCTGCAGGGTGATCCCCTATAATGTCGGCCCCTTTAACTTGATGCAGTAATTTTTTTTATATTATGTTTTTATTTATACAGGGTATTCGGTTTTTCCTGGAACGACACTAAAATTCTTATTTTTAGTATATTTTTGCATTTTTTGAATTTACACACTTTTTAAGACAACTTTAATTTACTGTTCTGTTTTTGTGCTGCAACGCACGTCAAAAAGCACTGTTTTGTATTTTTTTTTGTAAATATTAATTTTTTATTTATAATGTGTTAAATGAGTTATTACGTATAATAAACCATATTTTAATTTTAAAGGTTTTTAGATTATCAAAAAGCACTGTTTTATAGAAATAATTCACAAACTTTTTTTATAACAAATAAATATCCATTTTTTTTCTTTTTTACTGCATTATAATGTATAATAATAATAAATAATAAATAAATATCTATTATAATAACCCCATAATTTTTTTATTGCAAAAAAATATTTATTTTTTTATTTGTTAAATAAGACTTATTAGGTATAATTAACTTTATTTTAATTGAAAAATATAACGAATTTTAATTTTTAAATGCGTTTTAGGTGGTCCTAATTAAAGCATCAATTAAGGAAAAAATCAAACTTTTTTATTGCATGAAATATTTATTTTTCTATTTTTAACTGTGTTAAATAAGACTTAATAGGCATAATTAACTATACTTTAATTAAAAAATAAAGGTCTTTATTTTTTAAATGCCTTTTTTAAATGTTCGCGGTGAAATGATGGCGAAAATAATTCAATAACTTTTTTATTGTAAATAAATACATATTATACACATACTCAGCACACTTTAAGAAATAAATAAACATAATTTAAATTTTAAATTTTTTTCCTATAATAATTCCTCATATTTTACAAATTTTGTATTTCTCCTAAGTAGCCGTTCTTAGTAACGTTATTAGGGGGTCAGACGATATTAAAAGACGATGAAATATATTTTCGTTTGTTGATTTTCGATTTGTTTTTCTCGAAAACATAATATATTATATAACAATTTTTTAAAATCCTTATGTCTAGATTCTTGAGTTTCCTCAAAAAGATGCAAAACAAGGGATTATTAATTAATTTATAAAATTAAGATAACCTACAAAGCAAAGGATTATCTATTATTTAATTCATAATTTGTTATGAATAGGTTATTAATTATTAATCCTATAAAAAATTTAATACATGTTAAAATATTTATAACAATTAATAAATTCAACTAAAACTTATGAGCATAGATCTGTACGAAAATCTTGAGTGGGTAGACAATGCCTTACTTATGTATATACGAGCGCTCGCGATTTAGCCATGCAGCGCGATAAATAAAAATTCATAACTTTTCCATATGTGCGTATATGCAGCTAATTTTTTGTGTACTTATAACGTAAAGTTTACTGAACAACTTTATCAACGTGAAAATCAGAGGCAATCGTATTTAAATGCCTATATGAATTTTTTTCTACTAATTTTACTAATGTATCTTTAAAACATTTAAACTTTTAATTTTAATTTTTAAACACGAATTTTTATATATGTAGATTAAGGTCTACTTTAAACTTATTTAAAAAAGATATATTTTGTTCGATTAAAAGATATAGTTTAACTGTTTTAAAAACATTTTACTTTAAGGTAATAAAAACATAATTATTTAAAAATAATTCTTTACCCAAATTTATTGCTTTAAAATGTTTTTAACAAATTATCGTCATAAAAATACCCATAATAAAATGGTTTATAAAAATGTATTTTTTCCGCCGATAAAACATAGTGTGGCGTTTTCAAAACAATTTCGCAGGTTTGCGCTTTGCGTTTTTTAACGCAATGAACAAAGCGTAACTTATATCAAAGTCTCTGCTTGTATCCTTAATTCTTTCGTGCACTTTGCCATGTTGCCACATTTCGGAAGTGACATAGTCGTGCCTATGCTACGGAAGTGACACCGTCGCTATATATGAAATGCATATATCGATGGTGGCGCCAGCGGCATATACCTGAACTAAGTGCCAAACTGAAAAGGTACGAAAGCTACGTAGTCACTTCCACCCGTTTTTTCGGATTTGAGCTCCTTGTGCCCTCTAGTGGCTAAATATGCTGACAACAAGGCGAAACGTTGTCACTTCCATATATACGTTCCCACTTCCAATTTTGGAAGTCACAACGAATGTTACGTACCTATTTCGGAAGTGACTTGGTACATTTCATCAATATATATATATATATATATATATATATATATATATATATATATATATATGCATACAAACATAATATTATTATGAATATAACATTAAAATTTAATTATCATTTTTCAAAGATAAAGTTTTATAAAATTTACTTGGGCACTTCGATGTTTAATGTGAAATTGTCCCATTTTGCTATCTCAAATTTTCAAATCAAGTGATATTTTCGACCGATAATAAAAATGCGCGTTTTAATGGAAGAAAAAGACTTTAAAAGAATAAAACGTTTTCTTACTTTATCTAAATTAATTTTTTACATTTTTCCTGGACCTCAAAAATAGCTGCCCGTACCCTCAAAGTTAAAAATTCAAAAAATCATATTTAGTTTTTGAGTTCTATGAGAAATGTGATAATTTTTTTTAGATATAAAAAAATTAATTTATCCTTATGAACTTAATAAAAAAATTACCTATTATTTGTTATGGAAAAGCGTCCAATGTAAACTGGACCATATTTCATGATTAATTAATTGTGTATTTCTTTATTTAGATTTTCAAGATGCATCGATATCTTCATCTACTGATAAATCCCAGAACACTATTAGTCCAGAAATTCTACCCATACCAACAATACAAATTAATTCAGAACAACTCGCAAATTTACAAAATGCTAGAGCTATAAATATAGAAGATGAAGAAGAATTATTATCAGAACCCGAACCTTTTGGTTCTGGCGGCTCCGAATCTGAATACTTACCTAGTGGTGAATCCCGCAGCAGTTCGATAGTGCCAGACACTCCTGAAAATACGCTATTAAGTGATACAGAACAGGATGAAGTTTCACGAAGTCTACCCGTTGGTTATTATGAAAACTTTTCTTCAATGGAAGCCGACGAGGAAACCGACAAGCTTTCCTCCGGTGTAACTAGTTCCAATAATAAAACTAAGTCAAAAGACCTAATAAAAATTAACTGTGCCAATAAAACCTCAAGTGGTAAAAGAATTCGGAATAAAGACCACAGTTGTTATTTTTGTCACAAGTTGCTTCGTAATTTAGCTAGACATTTTGAAAGGGCCCATTCTAATGAAACGGAAGTTGCCAGAATATTGAGCATGCCGAAAAATTCCAAAAGACGACGAGAAGCCTTTAATGCTCTGACGCGTAATGGTGATTTTTATCATAATTGTGACGTACTTTTACTACAAAAAGGAGAACTTATTTTAACTCGCAGACCAACTGAACAAGAAAGAAAGTTTCTAAAATATTCTGATTATGGTCCATGTCCTGAATGTCTAGGTTTTATGATTAAAAGACATCTATGGCACCATCTTAAATACTCATGCGTTTGCATGAGAGACAAAAATATTTTGACTTCTGAAAAATCAACACGACTACCAGCTGCTGAGAGTGCCTCTTTACTAAATGGAATTTATGGTCACAACATGACAGAAGATTTTCGTTGTAATATTTTAAACAAATTGCGAAATGATGAGATATCTGAAATATGTCGCAGAGATGATCTTATTTTACGATTTGGAGCATTTCTTTATGAAAAATATAGCAGCACTCAAGCAGAACTTATTAGACAATCTATGCGACAACTTGGAAGGTTAACAATAGAGCTCGCTAAGAAAAATACCGAAGTGCACAAGTTAATTGACGCTCTTATCCCTGAAAAGTTTGATGCTGTTGTCTTAGCGACAAAGTCCCTTTGTGTAACATCGAACGAAACAGCGAAAAGGACTGAATTCGGAGTTCCGTCTTTAGCACTAAAAATTGGGTATTCTATTAGAAAGTGCATTGGGATTGAAAGAGGTTTATGTTTGCGAAGGGGTGACCTAAAAAGAAATGAAATATTGTTGGGTTTCTTGTCAATTTTGGATTTGGAGTGGAGTGTTAGAATTTCCTCGAACGCGTTAGCTACTTTGCAGTCTAGAAAGCTCAATTCCGTTGATTTACTTCCAGTTACTGGCGATTTAATCAAATTAAGCAAATTTTTAGAATTCATGATCCAAGAAACAAAGAATGACATGGAAAGAGAAAAGGGTTTTCAAAACTGGAATAAACTAGCATCACTTACCTTAAGTCGTATAATTCTTTTCAATAAAAGACGTTCAGGAGAAGCTGCAAGGATGAAAATTGAACAATACACGAAGAGACCAGCATGGAAAAATCAAGGTGTAGCAGAAATGAAAGAATCTTTGACGGAATTTGAAACTAAGTTAGCAAATGCTCTAACGGTAGTAGAAATAATAGGAAAGCGAGGAAGGAAAGTACCAGTATTGCTTACTAAAGAAATGAAAGAATCTGTCGATTTTCTACTTGCAACTCGCACAGCAGTGGGGGTGCCCGAGGAAAATCCTTTTGTGTTTGCACGGCTAGGTGATTTAAATTCGTATATGAGAGGCCACGATTGCATTAAAAAATGGTGTTCTGAAGCAAACTTGGAGTCGCCAGAAACAATAACAAGTACAAAGTTACGAAAATACGTAGCTACCGTTTGCCAAGTCTTTAATCTTAAGGAAAACGAGTGTGACTGGCTTGCGCGACATCTGGGCCACGATATAAGGGTCCATCGTGAATTTTATCGCCTCCATGAAAATACAGTTGAGCTAACCAAAGTTAGCAGGTTGCTTCTGGCAGTGGACCAAGGGAAAGCACATACATTTGCTGGAAAATCTTTGGAGGATATTGAAGTAAAAGGTGAGGCAAAATTTAATTATTTAGACTTATTGATAAATCATCTAAATATAATATTTTTAAATTGCACGAAGTCACGAGATATTACCTCTTACTATATTTATTATAAAACCAATAAATCAAATAAAAAAACAACCAAGCTTTTGGTCCTTGATTTGGAACTTTTTCAAGGCTAAAAGAGAAAATTTAAAAATTTATACATATATAAAACCATATTAAGAAAAATATTACTTTACTATTTTTTTTGTAATTTACATTGCCAGTGAAAAATGTTTATAAAAATTGTAAAATTTTTATATTTTAGTAACTATAGAACAAAAAACTTGGTTCTGCAAGAAAAAAATTTTAGATTTTATAAAACAAGTTAATTCTTTTTCTTAATAATAAATGTACACACACATTAGATTAATTTTACCTTAAAGTATTTTTTTATGTCAAACCAAGTTTTTTGTTCAAATTTTGTATTTGGTTTTTTGATTTTATTATAATAAGAGCTGAAGTTTCGTGATTTTCTGCATTTTAAAAAGCCACGCATCTGTGATTTAATACATAACATATAATATTTTCCTAGATTTACCACCCATAGAAGAGGATCCTCCTGATCAAAATGACGACGAAGCTAGTGATGGAGAAGATGGAGAAATTCAAAGAGACAGTGCTGAGGTTTCAGATCGCATTACTGCGAAGGAAGCGGAAGAATTAACATCTGAACCATTTATTGAAAGAAAGAAACAAAAATCGAGTGCGTAAATTTATTATTTTTATTTTACAGAAGTGGGCCATAAAGCATGGTTTCTCACCAAACTATAGGCTGGATTAAAAAGTTGTATTTACAAAGTATTTTATTAAAAATACTGTAACATATACAATAATTTGTAAGCTGACTAAAAGTTTGGCCAAAAATAATTGCCCGCTTTTACATGATATTATTTATAGGGTGTTATACAACTGCAAAGTTATAGCCCATATAAATATTATATCTTCTTTCTTTATTTGTTTTTTAGGAAATAGTAAACCGAAAAGGACGAAGAGAGAAGCGGCTTTAGGAAGAGTTTCGTGGATTAATTCAGAAAAGGAAGTGTTGTTGAAGGAATTTAAAATAGAAATAAAAAACGAAATCGTACCCGGAAAGGATAAGTGTACGAAAATTAAAGAGAAGCATAACGATATACTTAGCCGCAGATCATGGACCGATATTAAATTTTTTATTAAAAATGTTATAACTAAAAATAAGACCAAGAAAAAGTAGTTACTGAGCACAGTATTATTATATTATATTACACAGTATTATATATTATATTATTATACCTGCAACAGAAAACTGTTAAAAACGGTTTTATTACTCGGTTTTCAGGGAACCAAACTTAAAGTAAATTATAAAACAAATGCACTAATCGTTAAAATATTTAGTAAAGAGGTTTTTTTGAATTGTGTATGTGCGATTATACAATGCTTTCCAAAAGTAATGGATAACTTCGACAACACTGACTGCTATGAAAAATATTTCGAAAAAATGTTCGGATACGCCGATTTTTATTTCTAATTTAATTTAAAAATTATATTTTCAAACCCAACCTCTCGAATAATAAGCGCTAAAAACCCCAATGCAATTTAATTTTTAAAGTTAATGTGTCTGACTCGGTGTCTGAGCATTTCATCTAAATATTTTTCACAACAATTTTATCGAATTTATCTATTAATACAGTTGAATTTTTCTATAAAAAAAATAATAATAATATGTAGTAAAAGTGTAAGTAATGTAATTATTAAATTTTTTAACTTCTTCTTGAAAGCGTCTAATTGGTTCAAGAATCATTCATGACATTTTTGCATATGTATTACGGAATTTAAAAAAAAATCCACATAAAAAACATTGAAAAAATTTCTTTAAAAAACTTTGTATATCTAAAAATTGTATACCTAAGTACATATTTAGAAAACAGAACATAATGGTAAATTCTGCAAATTATATACAGTTGTCTAGGAATACTTACCTACGTTTTCTTGATACTATTCGAATTTGATACTATTCGAATTTATGAAAATTTATTTGTGAAGAGTTACAAGATTATGTTTTGTTAGATAGAATTAAGACGTACTGCAAATTAAAAATAAAAATAATTAAAATATGTTTATTCAGTTTTGTGTTTTATTTTTGCTACAGTTTAGTAAGTACAAAAATTATTATGAAAAGGTTCCATGCGTGTTGAGCCGGTAAACTTAAATTTCGGGTTATTGCTACGGTTTCAATTTTTAAGAAAATTGAAACCATAGCAAATAACTTGCAGTTTAAGTTATCCTACAGTGAAAACAGGCCCTGACGTTTTCCAGTCGTACAACTATCTCCTTATCGTTTCTGTTTCGTGTCTGTCCAACGTTCTTTTTCGCTTCTGAAATATTTAAAATTTAATTAACTAACATAAAATACTGTAGCTCTAACTTACCTTGTACCTACTCTCTAAGAAGCACATATTTAATAAAAAGTATATGTCATGAATCGCATGAATAAAAGCAGGAACCACTTTTAACGATAGCTATTTATGATATGAGTTAAAGTCACTTTTAACCCACATTTCATACATTGGGTAGGTACTTGTTCTACAAACTACTAATTAGATGAATTTTTTACGATTTATAAAAATAAGTTATTTAATTTGACAGTTTGCTAGATTTTAAAAATGCTATCTATAATCCGATAAATGTACTGCTTAGGTACAGAATGGGACTATACGACAAGTTATTGTTCAAAGTATAGTAAATTTACCTGATCATAGATTGCACTTTTTTTAATATGACAAACTGTCAAATTAATCAATAATTTTTAAAATCACGGTTCATAACTAGGCTCTACGAAACTTCCGACATGCACTCTGAATATGTGGCATTCTTAACATTGTTCATACAGCAAATACATTTCCCATGGTACTCTACACATCTTTGGATAAATGCATTTGATGTGGCATCCTTAACCCAGTACACAGCAAATACATTTATCGTGGCACCCTACACAATTTTGGATAAATGCATTTGATGTGGCATCCTTAACACATTACACAGCAAATACATTTCTCGTGGCACCCTACACATCTTTGGATAAATGCATTTTATGTGGCATCCTTAACCCAGTACACAGCAAATACATTTCTCGTGGCACCCTACACATCTTTGGATAAATGCATTTGATGTGGCATCCTTAACACATTACACAGCAAATACATTTCTCGTGGCACCCTACACATCTTTGGATAAATGCATTTGATGTGGCATCCTTAACACATTACACAGCAAATATATTTCTCGTGGCACCCTACACATCTTTGGATAAATGCATTTGATGTGGCATCCTTAACACACAGTAAACAGTAAATATATTGTGGCGCCCTAAACTCATATTGGATAATTGCATTTGTTGTGGCAACGGACGCCACATGCTTGCTTAAAGCTTGTATTTTTATTTCAAAAAATACGGTGAGTAAAAGAGCGCCACCTAGCGCATTAAATTCGTAATTTTAAGTTCCATTCGCACAGTGGTCGGCAACAAATATGCCACAATGTGGTGTGTAGGTTGGGGTGCCATAAAAATACGTGGACATGTATGTGTGTGTGTGTGTGTGTGTGTGTGTGCTGTCCTGTCCTGTCTAAACGTGAGTATTTTAAGTTTTTTTAAAATTTAAAAGGGCCCCATGGTGTTCCTATCTCGCTGTGTTAAAATTGTTCGTCTTTCAATGCATTAACCGCAAAAGCGATAAAAATACAATTAAAAGTAAATTATATTTCACACATTATAAGTTATTATAAATTGAAAATCAATTTGTTTTTTATTGCAAGACATTATTTACCTACAAACCTACTTAAAATAATCATATTTGTTATATTTATTTTCTGACAACACAAAATTGTCTTAGGTTCAGTGTGATAATACCATAATTTGACCCTGATTTTTCAGCTTTTAATTTTAATTGCAATAAAAACGCATTTGGTTTAATTTATTACAATTGGACATATTTGTTTTAAAAGTTGATAATACCTTTTGCGATGAGTAATCATCTTGTGGTACAGCGTTGTTATTTTTAAGTCTAATGTTTTAAATAATTAATATTATGTTTAAACGCGCCCCCAAAACATTGGAGATCTAATAGATAGCGGCGATACAATAAAATGATGCAATGTTACGCAACATTATGTCACACTAAAAAGTATCAGGGTTAGCTCGTGGTTTAAATAATTATTTAAAAACATTGGAGCTCAGCGGCGATAAAACATCTGGTCACTGGGTATCTATTATTCAGATATTTAATATTTGAATTTTAGATAGGCCTAAAACTGGAGCCCCCATGATTTCCATGGGGTAAAGTGGGCGGGGCTTAGCGGGTTTCATCGTGTCGGGAGTAGGGGGCCAACATACGATTGGTTTTCCAAGGTGTTAAACAAGTATGGAAAATATCCCTTCTTTAGTTCCTTTAACCCAAATGCTTTGGGGAGAGCTGAGAGCCGCATGGGAAAATAATTAAGGAAATCCAAAAATTTGATGTTTTGTAGTTGCATCAATATAATTTTGGTTCCTCTCATAATTAACTCGGGGGAATAAATTGGTGATCAAATGCTTGGCCGTTGTGCGCCAGCACAACAACATCTTTGAATTTTTTTCTAATTTATAAAAGGTTTGGGGAGTTTTTGCAATCTTACTCCGCATTTTTTTCAAATAATATCTGATGTTTTAATACACACATCACAGCATTGTTTACAAACACACAAATTTGGCTCGTGTTCCAGGTCGTCACCGTTGAGTTTTTCCTGTCTAGTCTCCAGGTCGTAGAAAACAAAAAGTACATCCTTTGTTTTTGGCTTTCCTGTATCAGGCTGCATGAAGCACAAATGCCCTTGTGGTTGGTGTTTTTGGCAAAATTTACAGAAAATCTCCCCGCATGTGTGCTTTTGTTGAGCCTTTATGGTTTTTAGTCAGTTGGGGCAGAGTCGAACTTGCTGGCAAAGAGAGCCCTCTGTACCAACTTCTATATGGTTATCAATACATGATTGGTTTTTAAATGTGCAAAGGCAATCAACACATTTAACCTTAATCCCCACTTTACATGGTGGAGACCTTTGGCAGGCAACACAAGATTTAACACATCTGTGCTCATTTTTGTGATCGTGTGGAACTAGGCATTCCTCGCAATAATAGTTGCAGCAGAAGGCGGCTGTTAATGATGTAACAACATTATAGTGACCTTTGTGATGAATTAAATTTAAATTTTTAGCCCTCTCCTTCCCGGAGAAAATTATGTCTCGCCCCTTGGTGCCGTATTTGTAAACTACCATCCTATAGCCTGTTAAATACTGTTGGAGTTGATGGAGCTCGGGAATACCAGCCCCCTCTTCAGGTATTTCCACACCGGCTTCCTTTAACAACGACAGGGCTCGCGATGTCTGCACTTTTCCAATATCCCTGCGCACTTTAACATAGTCAGGGTCTTTGTCTACGTAAGCCTTGGCCATGACAAGAGCTCGAGGTAAACATAAATTGTCATTATTTTTAATAGCGATTATCCCCTGACGCTTAGCGCACTCTTCATCAAAAGTGTTGTAGTTTTTCCCTCTCCCTTTTCCCGTTGGCATTCTAACGGAAGTAACCCCCAAACAAAATGTTTCAGTATTTAGACCCATGGAGTTGGATTGGTAGATGCTGGAGAGAACACCCCAAACATCCTCTAGTGTAACCTCATCTGCGGGTTCAAAACGTACCCAACCTTCTCCACGAGACAAGTCCTTACAGCCAACATTAAAAGCTACTTGATCCGCCGGTAAAAGATTTGCTGTGGCTTTCTTGATGACATCACCAATGGCATTTTTTACCCATGTCACAGGTTCCTCCCTTGAAGGAGGGTCTCGCAACTTAAACTCCAGTGTACGACCTTGAAGATTGAAGCGACGAACATTTTTTGAAAAATCTTTAACAATAATAAATTTTTCCATTTTAAATTATCAGAGATAAAAAGCAGCTATCACTTTGAGACGACGGATAACGACTGATAACCTGCGGTGTTATCGCTACTTTTTATACCTGTGATAACGTTTAGTCTTCCGTCCGTCCTTTCAAAAATTTAAAAAGGCCCCGGGTGTTCCTATCTCGCTGTGTTAAAAGTGTTCGTCTTTCAATGCATTAACCGCAAAAGCGATAAAAATACAATTTAAAGTAAATTATATTTCACACATTATAAGTTATTATAAATTGAAAATCGATTTGTTTTTTATTGCAAGACGTTATTTAGCTACAAACCTACTCAGATTTGGTATATTTATTTTTCTGACAACGCAATATTGTCTTAGGTTCAGTGTGATAATACCACAATTTGACCTTGATTTTTCAGCTTTTAATTTTAAAACGCATTTGATTTTTAAAATATTTATTAAAAAGTTGCTATATATATTTATTTTTCTGATAACACAATATCGTCTTAGGTTAATAATACCGCATTTGTTTTTAAAATATTTATTACTAAATATTATGACAGATTTGTTTTAAAAGTCATCATCTTGTGGTGATGATTACAGCGTTGTTATTTTTAAGTCTAATGTTTTAAATAATTATTTTAAAATCGCGGTTTAAACGCGCCCCAAAAACAGTTGGTAGCATTGGAGATCTAATAGATAGCGGCGATACAATAAAATGATGCAATGTTACGCAACATTATGTCACACTAAAGTATC